ATGAAGCAGGAATCCAGACTAAATGTCTTCTATAATTTTTCACAACATTGTTGATATGTACAGTAATTAACTTTCCAAATTTTTCTTTTAAGTTTTTATTCTCCTGTTTGTTTCTTTATAGACAACTAGTCTAAAATCAATGTGCTGTTTGAACCAAAAATAATTTTTAAAAGATATAGGGTGATCTAACGTGGTAGTCATAGTTTTGTTGCAATGATAAATGTTACGTGAATAATACCTCTGGTAGCACACCGATCGATGTAATAACAGGAAATTATTAGTTGATATCAATGTAATTCAGAACAGAAAACAGCCCTCCATTTGGAAGGTATCTAATATTTAGTCTGATGCTGAGCTATAGGTGGTAAAATGGACAAAAGATTCACTCAGTAAAAATTGCCTACATTTTATAGAAATTACAAAATGGTAAAATGGGAAGAAAACAATAGCAAAAGCTTTGGAAGGATGAAAAAATTGGCCCTTCTCTTATTAATATTAAAAAAAAAAAAAAAAAAAGAAAAAAAGAAAACAACCCATGTTATCTGTTCTACATCTGTTAAAGAATGTTCTGGCTTTGAGTGAGTGGTGGGGTTTTAGAGTAGCAGGGGAGGGGGATATCGGGGTGGCCCCCTCTGAGAAGCTTCTCGAAGCTCCCCCAGCTCCAAGTCAGCCCCAACTCTGCACCAAAACGGAGCCCATCGGCTGCGCCTCTGCGAGAACTTAAGAAGGGACGTGGTGACGGGCAGTGGGGCTGGTGAGGAGGAGTTGCTGCAGCTGCGTGAACACCAAGGTCAGTGGAGGAACGGAGGAAGAAAGGAGGGGGGAGGTGTGCCGGAGCAGAGACCCCCCTGTATCCTGTGGGGAGATGGCAGGGCGGCCCCCCCCTGCTACCCATGGAGATCTATGGTGGAGCAGACACTGATTTATGGCCTGGGAGGGGCCCCACATGTGAAATTAAGGTGGCTGTGCCTGAAGGCAGCTGGGACCCTGTGGGGAGAAGCAGCCCCCGTTGTTGTAGTTCCGCACTGGGAGGATTGCAGCGTGCGGGGGAGTCCCACGCCGGAGCAGCTCGGGAAGGGCTGCAGCCGTGGGAGGGAATCCAGTTGGAGAAAGTTGGTGACCCATGACGGAGCAGTGTGGGGAACGCTGCGGCCCATGGGAGGAACTCATGTTGGAGAAAGTTTGGGGAGGACTGTCTCCTGTGAGAGAGGGACCACCCTGGAGCAGAGGGAAGAATTTCCAGCAGCTCCCCCCACTGCAGATGGCAGAAGCAGCAGCACTGCCTGCACCCCCCATTCCCTGCCCCTGAGCCGCTGGGGGAGGAGGTAGAGATATCGGGAGCAGAGCTGAGCCCGGGAGGGGTGGGGGGAAGGTGTTCTCAAGATGTGGCAATGCTTCTCACTGTCCTACTCTGTTACGTGTTGTTAGTGTCTATAATAAATGTATGTTCTTTTTTTTCTTCCCCTAATGAGTCTGCCTTTTGCTCATGACCATAATGGGTGATCTGCCCCTCCTGGTCCTACCTCAAACCCCAAGCCTGGATCATTTGTCCCTTCTTATTGCTGGAAGAGAAGGGGGAGTGAGTGGCTGCATGGTGTTTGGCTGCTGACCAGGCTCAAACCACGACAAAGAATAAACAAGTTCTATACGTGTGAGGGAAAAAAATAATCAGGAGGTTTCTTGAAGACTTAAAAATCAAACCACTTTCAAAATTATAGTTGCATATTGAGGTTCTATCTCATCTTCAGATAAATGCAAAGTGTCATCTTCAACTTATCTCTGCTTAGTTTAACAATAAGCAGCTGAGTAGCAAATATTGAAGGGTGGGGTAATTCTGTTGAACAGAAAGAAAAACTCTAACTTCTCAGGTCTGTGACAATGTCCTCATTTACCACCAAAACAGCATAAAATCTTTAGATCAGTGAAGCAATTCACAGCCTTGTGGGCAACTGGGATGCCTCATTGCTTCTAGATTCTCAGATCTGTCAATGCCCATGCTCTGTTGGAAAGAAATTTGTGCCTTTCCTGCTCAGGATTAGATTTATCCACAGAAAGCCTTGCATTTGTGATCTCCATGCTCAGTTATGGTAAATTGCTGTACTCAGGGTTAAAACACTGATCTCAAAATATCTAAAATTGTTTTCGATACAGAAAAAACAGTAACACAAGCTACCGGTGTCACTGCATGTCAATGGTCCCCTGGTAAATATTTAATCAGATCTAAGGGCAGACAACTTCAAAATTCTCCAAAGAATCGTTTCTAGTTAGCTGGATGATCACACTTCCCCAATAAAACATTTACTTTCTGTAATGTCAGTATTTCACTGGACTCCCATACTCCAGTGTATGGGAGGCAATTTTTTCTGGTACCTTATCTCCCAAGTTTAGAATTCATTGCCATTGCTCATATAATATTGGAGATTTTGTGTAAGTACTTGAGGTTGGTCTTAAACAATGTGTTCACACATGATTTTACCTAGGAAGTAGAAAAAAACATCACTCATTTTTCAGGCAGACAGACTATGAATGCAGTGGTTTTTAATATTTGATTTTAATATTTACTGGTAAGTTGCTGAAGCCAAACCTAGCTATACAACTTCAACACAGAAATAGCAGACACACTTTTTCCTGCTTTATTCATTATGTCTCAGTAATGAGAAAAGAGGGGCCACTGCAGACCCTCTCAAAATCTACTGTAAAATCCGTTTTTATTCAGTGTTTTTCCTGAATATTACATAAAGTAACTAATCTCGATAGTTTATGGTTTTCATGAATTGAAAATAAAATAGGTCATCCTACCTTATCAACTGTATATAATGGAAATTTTTACCATTAAACACATAGTTGGATTCTTAGGATTTATCACTTGTTCTCAGGATTACATCTCCAGTGCCAAAATTCAATTCTTTTTTTTTTTTTTTTTTCCCCAGGCTCAATCAATACTCTCATTTGTTTAATCCATATTATCATTTCCTTAAAAATTTGTAGCTCTGGCTGACAATAGTATTCTCCCCTGTGTTTTCATTTAATTATTATGAAATGCAGTTACAATTACAGAACAGAGTACATGTCGTTGTATGAGATGGCTGATGGTTTTACTGTCTCTCATGTATCAATTTAGAGACATTAGAGCTAGTTTTGTTATCAGTGCTTATTGTTCTATTGACCTGAGTAAATATTACATGATCTTCATTGTGAGTTTGATTGTGAACCTCTGGTGAGGACTAGGCGTAAGATAACAGCTGCTGTAAATTGCACTAAGCCTTTACAATTAACCAAACAATTAATAAATCTATGAAGGAATTAGTACATTGAAGGGTCAACCTCAATAAGAAAAGAAAACCATGTAGTCACAGAGATGGCCGTTTTTCAAGCTAAGCTAGAGAAGTCAGGCTTCAGTCTAATTCTTCTGTCTGAGCAGTGAGATTTAAAATTCCTACGGAATAAAAGAAGACTAATAGCATTCTTGACAAGGGAAATTGAGGGAATGAGAACATCAATTGTAGGAATGACTGATAAAATTATTTAATTGACAGTAACATAAAGATAGATTTAGACAAAAAATATGATGAGCAAGTGATGGATTAAGCCTTTGAGTATACAAAGAGGCTCTCTTTTGCATCTGACTCTAGTGGAGATGAAGAGATCATTTTCCTCTGTAATTTGACAGGATGCAAGTATCATGATGAAAAATTGGAGTAAAAATTACAGGTTAAAATACACTTTTTCAATTAATTTTTACAGGAACCTGGAGAACAAACTGTAGTCAAAGATATCAGAATTAACACATTTTAGTCATACTGTTTGAATGTAAATTTTGACACTTGATATAAGTTTTGTGGTTTCATTTGAATAACACAAAGAAAACATTTTGTGTCACAGAGAAGCTTCAAGTTTCAAAAATTAGTTTTGGGGAGGTAACAGTTGAAAGACAGGAAATCTCAGCCAGAAGTGCATTTTTAATAAGGTAAAGGAAAACAACACTTTGCAAAAATGATACTGCTATTTTCCAGATCTATCTAGCCTGAATTGTGAGGATCATGCAATGGCTGACAGAACATCCTCAACAAATGATAAAAAGCATCAAATAAAATCTGCAAAGTTGAGATTCCCATTTATGTACATTAGAATTTAAGAACTGTATAAAAGAAACTTTATTCAAGCAGTTTTAGATCAGAGATCCAATGACATGACTAGACTATTATAACCCTACTGCGCCTGATGAGAGCAGCAAACAGAACTATAAGACACAGCTTTTGCTTCTAGCCTGGACCATGAACATTATGCTACATTGAAGTAAAAGACTATTTGCTTTTAAACTGGTGAACGATAGATGTATTGTGTTGTTTGATAGCTGTCTTGGCTCTGCATTCAAGTTCACATACACACCATGTAAAAGTTTGTAGAGAATCTTAAGCAGCCTCAGAAAAAGGAGCTGGAAGTACAACTTATGCTGTGCAACATCTGATGCTTTTCTTACTGAGAGATGAATTTGAGGGACCTGTAGTGAATAAACTCACCTGTTGCAGAGAAAATACAATTTGGCAGGGAAAAAAAAAAAAAAAAAAAAAAAAAAGAGGAATTAACATTGGAATCTGTGCCTTGTAATTCAGTTTTGCCCATCCCTATGCCAGCTGTAACCACAACTAAAATAAGCAAACTTGGTGAAACTTCACTGGTTGTAGATTAACAGGCTGAGGCTAGTCTACTCGCGGGGGACAGCTACATCCCTAGGCTTTCACATACACACCAAAAAAAAAAAAAAAAAAAAAAAAAAAAAGAAGATATCTCAGATACAAAGCAGAAAGCAGCGAGGAAGTACAATAACGGAGTTTTGTCTCGGCTCCTTCTGCTGTGATGCAAGAACAGAGGGCATGAGCCACAAGGCAGTGGGTTGGCGAGGGGGAGATGACCCAGGGGAGGCGGAACGGAGGGGTGGGCGGCCCGGTTTCCCCCTCCCTCCACCCCCCCCCCGCCCCCGCGCGATCGCGCCGCAGCCCATAAAGGGCGGCGGGAGCCGCGGGTGGGCGCGTCGAGTTCCGCTCGTGCCGTGGACATGCAGTAGTGGCTGCTCCGCCGCCGTGGGACCGGTCCCCCCCGCGCCCGCCAGCACCGCCGGGACCCGCCGGGGACCGGCCGCCGCGCCCCGGCTCAAGGTACCCCCGGGGCCGCCCTGCCCCGCGGGAAGAAGGGTCACCCACGCTTCCCACCCGCGGCGGGGACGCCTGCGGGCTCCAGGGAGGGCGGAGCCGTAACTCGGAGCGTTTTGGTTTTGGTTTTGTTTGGGTTTTTGTTTGCCTTTTTTTTTTTTTTTTTTTTTTTTGGTTGTTGTTTTGTTTGTTTGTTTGTTTGTTTTGTTTGTTTTGTTCTGTTTATTTATTTTATCTTCCAGATGCAGAGGTGTGCTAGTTTCCTGTTTCTGTCTTTAATCCTCTTCGCCGCCCTGTCAGAAGCGTTCGGACTGGTTTTCTCAGTAAGTACGGGTCTCGCTGTTGAAGCTCCTGCCCATCGGGCAGCATCCCTGTCTCGGCTGGCAGGTAACAGCAAACCCTGCAGCGATACGCACTGTGTATATATGGGTTGGACAACATGCAGCACTTTTAAAATAACTTCGGGCAGTGAACAGGTTTTTAATTAAGAATTTGGGGCTTTTGAACACTAGCTCCCTTGTAACAAATAAGATGACTAAAGGAGAAAAGAGAGTGTCTAGTTTATAGACCAAAACTGAATGGATGTCCCATCTGACTCAGAAAAGGGGTCTACATATGGACTTTTTTATAAAGGGGCTGTCATGTAAATCCAAACAATTAAAAGAAAACATTGCTGTCCGCTAAGGCAATTATCAGGTGGTAATACAAACTTGGAGTATAAAGTTAAAATTTCTGCCTCCAAAGTGTGATTTGCAGTTTCAGTTACGTGGTATGAAATGTTTGTACCACATGGGTGTCGACAGCAAAACTATTGACTTAAATGGGGAGGGTACAAGAGTTCACCATTGATACTTGGTGAACTTCAATATTATTGGCTTTTATTTTTTACAGTATTTTGTGATTTCGAGCCTTTGGAAAGCACTTTCTGCTAAGAATATGTCCAACTGGGTCCTGTTTGCTCTGTCTTCAGAAAGCACTTTGTAGTTCATGCAATAACATATTTGCATTCTTTTCTTCAAGGCAAAAGAGAAAAGGGGCTGGACTTTGAATAGTGCTGGTTACCTACTTGGGCCACGTAAGTCAAGCAGTATTTTTTTTCTTCTTGTAAACCAGTTTGCTGTGGTATGCTACTCACTTTTCTGATTAATACAGTAATTTTGTCCAAACCTGTAAAACTGGAGAAGCTTGTTTGAGAAAATACTTGTTTAAATATTTGTTACATGCCTATTACAGAATTGAGTTGTCATAGACAGTAACTGCTCTTTTCTAAAGCAGAGCTGTGCTGGGAGGCTTTATATCCAGAGGCACATCAGGTGCTTTTGTGCTTTGTGCTTTTGAATGGCAATTTTCATATGACAAATATTCTTCCTCCTCCCTCCCCACCCCCACCAGAAGTGTTACAAAATCTTATAGCATCTTAGATATCAAGGGAAGAAAGACAAAATGTGGCATTTTGGCACTTTTTGATGCTTTTCAGATTTCACCTTTAAATCTATTTGAAAATGGCTTTGCTGCCTGGCTTTATTATACTTTTTATTTTATTTTAATTAAAGCAAAACAAATTAAAAAAATAACATGCAAACTCATGACTGTAAACATTAGCAGTTCATTGTGAAAAATATTTAATGTACAAGGTGGTTAAAATACAGGAACACATTGGTTTACAAAGATGGATAATCACAAATGTAAATTATAAGAAAAGTGAAATGCAGTGCTAAGCTGTCTCAAATATCTGTGCTTCTACCATTATTTCTTGTTAATGTAATAGCACTCATTACCAATGTTTTTATATTTTCAGTCTCAGTAATACACGACAATACTACAGATACTTACTATGACTCTTTTTATTATTGTCAACTAACCTTAAGAATACAAAAAAAAAAAAAAAATATTAACGCGTCTTAAGAGAATTAACCAGTTAATATAACTGGAAGTATATTTGCCCTGAAGCAGATCTGTCCAAATTGGCAAAGACACTGTGAGGAAATGTGCTTGTCAAAGTGCCATTTATCTAAGACTAGATGATAGGAATCATCCTTTGTTGCAGGTTGTATTCATCAGCTTTTACTGATAAAGGAAATGCCCATTGTAAGGGGGAGAGAAGAGCCAACAGGGGCATGTAAGATGTTTTTGAAGGTTATTCATGTAAACTTATCTGCAGTTTTCTGTTAAGCAAAGTCATTGGCAACATTCTCTAAAAATAACGGAGAGTAGCAAAAACAACTTCCCTAATTACATGTAAATGTACAAACTTACATCTTCTTTACAACTTCCTCTGAACTTAGTAACAGCTTCAGCAACTATGTAGTACAGGACTGGGTCTGTGAATGATGTAAATCATAAGCACAAATTCAGAAGAAAGATTATCTTTAGTGACACGTTAATTGCTTCTTTGTCATTTTGTACATTGAAAGTGCCCAACATGATCTTTTGAAATCCATGAAAAGCAAGCAATGTAGCAAAGATTGTTGTCAATTAACTCCTCTGATTTTTAATTTATTTACCAGATGCAGTAGATAACCACAGGTCTTTTAATGACAAACATGGTTTCACTGGTAAACGTGAAATACAGCCTGATGAGGATATTAAAACAGGTAATGAAATTCTGAAAGTTTGTATTGTTGATTTGTTTTTTATGTTTGGTAATTTATTTATTGTTACTGAGTTCACCAACTACCTAGATACAAGGTTATTCCTGCACTTTGATAAAAATCCTAATAAACATATGAAAGGAAGAAAAATGAAATTTGGCCATTCAGTATGCTCTTTGTGCATCGTCATAGTTTAAAGCATCTTGATGACTAGGGAAAAGTACCATAATTATGTTGCTTTTAAAGTATAATAGATGGTATTACTTTGAATAAACCTAGATTTTTCTTTTTATAAGTTCAAATAAGTATTTCAAATATCACCCTAGACACTTAAGTTGATTTTTTTCAGCAAAGAAGTACACCTATAATGAAATCTTTCAGTAGGGAAAGCTATAGAAACTGACAAATATATATATATTTTTTAATTCTGATATTCTAGTCTGTAACTAGACCTCAGAACTCTCTGGCACTGGTTATGTTGTAAGAGTCTTTACTATTGAAAAAAAAATCCATTTTATGTCTCATAATATTTCCCATGTTTAAACAAAATAGATTATTTTCATTAAAAGATTCAGAACCTGGTCAAAACCAAAGTCAAAACAACGTACTGTGGTGAGGTTGCCTGTACCAGAATTTAGTAAATGGCAATGAAAATGATGCAGCCTTATTCTGGATTCATCATACAAAGCCGGGCCTCTAAAATATATGTCTAGACTCCCTTTTTGAAGAGAAGCTGGCACTTTTAGGATTTAGTTTGAATACCTACTTCAGGATAAGATGTAGAAATTTCTAGAAAAAGCCTGTTTCTTTCTCCTGAGGAGAAACTAAATCTGCTGCTCTGAAGTGAGCTGGGATGATTCTCATCTTCAGATTGTCAAGGAGCAATCTGTTCCTCCCTGCAACCAAAGCGAGCAGTATGCACTCGAGTACTACTGCACCCATCGCGGCACCAATGGGGGAAGGTAAAGTCCCAGCTCCAGAGCTCTTGCAGCCTATTTTAAATCCGCTTAGCACAAAGCATATGTAGCTAACACCAAGTAAGTTAATAAAAAAATGAAATGTGCTTAATTACAATTTCATGGACATAATGACTTTGTAAATACAGCAGTTACATTAGTACCTGTCTTAGTTGTTACATTCTCAGGATTGCAAAGTTACATAGTGGGGTTTTGGTGTGTGGTGTTTTTTCGAAAAAGGGGGAGGAGGGAAGGAAGAACCTACTTCCTCAAACACTGCTGTAAAAATAGTATTTTCCCAGTCAGAAACAACATGAAAGAAGGCATTTGTAATCCACACGTGCAGCTCACATTGCAACATGTTGCCATTTGTGGATATGCTACCAGTTCCTTTCCGGGAACATGATCTTTAAGAGTTATGGAACTCTTGCCAGGTGCTGCTGCACCTCCACAATTACAGGTGAACCCAACCAAACTTGTCTGGATGGGACCTGAAAATTATATAACTGCCTCTGTTATGAATGTCATTTTAGATGCTTTTCTGTCATCAAAAGGTTTATTTGAAGCTAAAGTTTACTATAGAGTTCCCATTCAAAGAAGATTTGAATATTAAAAAAGGGATAAGGTAGTCAGAATTCTTATTTTAATTGAAAATTATTTTTTTAGCTAAATTATGCTGATTATTTACAAAATTATCTTAAAATGATAATATATATACACAAAGAATTCATGCAAAGGACTACTCTTTCTCCTTGAAGGAATGCTGCAAAATTCACAAGCTCTCCAGATAATACAGAAGAATTTGTAAACTGTATTAGTTACATAACACTAGGTTGAGGTGAAAAAAAAAAAAAAAATCTATGAGCTTAATTAGGAAAATCTTTAAATTCCAAGAGCATAACTGTTTCTTTGCTAGAGTCTGCAATTAATTTGCTATACAGAATTAAGGTCAATAGCAGAGTATATAGAAATACACATGTACAATATGCTCAAGTCACTAAAGAAAAATATCTATCCAATAATTACTACATAGGTAATAAAATCTGGGTCAACAAACTACTAATATAATAATGATTAATCACCACAAAAATTCTTAACAGGTTAGGTGGGAATAAAAATTAAATTAAGGAAGACTTCAAATAATACAGGTATTATTAATAACAACATCTTTGTGTCAATTCGAAGACTGGAAGACAAGACTTTTAGATGCAAATTTCTTAAATGTGTTCTTAAATACTTACACTCTATATACCAGCAACCTTCATGTCCCTTACCACTCCCCATCAATATTTTTTATTTGTGCTGCAGAGCTCGGTCTGCCTTCTGACCTGTATATCACTGGAAGCCTGAATCTTCTCTTCCATTATGGAAGAATTCCTCCAAACATTCACCTGCTGCAGTCAGTCTTTCAGACTATTTTCTGAGATTAAAAACATCCCCTACGATAACATCAAAGAACAATATTTTTCAGTGATGTAATAATGAACTGTCAGCAGATACTGGTATCCATCCGTTCTGTATGCAGAGAACTAAAAATCTTAGGGAAATTACCTACCATTTGTTCTCTAATACAGAGCAATTATCTGTCCTGTTGATAAAATCAAGATGTCTCCTTTTTTTTTTTTTTTTCTTTTTCACTAATAGACACAGAAAAACTACTTCTCAGCCTCCCAAAGTGCAATAACAAGTCCCCAGGGAGCTTGATAAATTGGGCCATTTAAAAAGGCCTACTCCCACAAGATAAAAGAGTATATTGTATTAGATACATCTGCAAGAACATACCTTTCTGAGCTTTTAGTAAAGTTCCAGGCCTAGCTTTTGGGCTACAAATCACTTCTATATCACTTGAGCGGCTTATTGAGAACAAAGCCAGACTACATGAAGACTTTTTAACTGTTTTGCTAAATTTACATTTTTCTTCAATCTCAGGCTAGTGGACGCAAAGGGGAGAGTTGATAACAGAGGATAACTCTCTTCTACAACAGAACTCATAAGGCCTTAAAGACCATGACCAGTGAGATGTCAAAGCAGCTCCTATACAGCAATAGCATACAAAGCTGGGCATTTTTGATTCTGAGAATTGCAGTTACCTACATTAACTTGGCTTTGCTTTTCCATGAAATGAGGTTTTCCATTAAGGATATTAAGGAAAAGGAAATTTAAGATAGCTGTTTTTCAGAGTACTCATAAACCTAGCCACAATGTCACATACAACACATCTTTATACCATGTTAATGTTAATTAACAACCAACTTGTTTTATAGGGAATCTTGGAAGACCACTGGCTAATGAAAACATTGTGCGCACAGTAATTGAATTTTTGACTTACCTGCATCTTAAAGGTTGGTGAATACCTTTTTAATCTTTCATATTTTCTGGTGTGAAATTTCATGAGAAGATAGGATTATCCTTGAATGCACAAGTCTGCTACAGATTTGAGAGTGCAAGACTTTGAACAGCATCTCTGGAGGCAGGGAGGAACTGTCAATTCCATTTTAGTGCATTTAGGAATAGGTCTGACTGAGAGAGTGCAGGTAGTTCTGCCAAACTGCAGGTTAATGGGTATTCAACATAGCTGGGTTCTAATACCATTTGATTACTCTAGACACTGTGAAAATAATAATTGCTGCTGCTAAAATTGTACGGACCCAGCTTTTAGAAGCCAAATTAAGTTTAGTTTGTTGCTGAAGACAAACTAAATCCAGTCTGATTACACGGGAGTTAATGTAAAACAATTCAATAACAAATGGAATAAGACCTCAGTTTAATGCCAAGAACAGTTGGTTGAAATTCTGAAACACTTGTTAATGACAAAAGAAATACATCTCCCTTTCTACATGTATTCTACAATAAAGTCACAGCATAAAATTGCAACAACACTAAGCTGAGTCTTATCAAACAGCTCAAAATGCTCTAATAAAAACACTGTGGAGTCTCAAAACTGTGACAAGAATTGTAAAACTGAGCTTACAGCTGATTCTATAAGAATGATAACTTTATTATAGTGTTAGGTGAAGACAAATCTGGCTGCTTCTGAGTTTTCATTAGTTTTGCTTTTTAAAAAACAAAATAAACCTACAATTCTGAGCTTTTATAAACCTCTTCAGCCTTTCTAAAGCTATCTACAAAATGTCCAAAGACATAATATGTATTTGTGAAGAAAACAACAGGAGGGAAAAAAGTTACTTTGACTGCAAATATTTGAGGAATTCTCTGTCTCAGAAAGCAGACAATTCGATGAATCTGAAACTTCTATACTCTTACCTTTGCATACAACAAATTAGAAGCAATTTTGTGGCAAGTGTATGCTGTAGAATAGTAACAAAGAAATGAGTGGTACATTTGTATTTCAATTAAATTGTTAAAAAAGACTTTCAAGAGACCTGTTAATTTTCTTTGTGTCTAGGAAACAAAATTCTGTACCTCTTTGGCATAATTTTCTAAACAATTTGCATCTGCCCAAGTGAAAAAATTCTCACTACTGAAAATATCAATCCAGTGTTTATTGCATCAACTTTGCATTTGAAACAAAGAGTCTTTATGATTAATACTAAGGGCCTGAGATAATTCAAATATATTATGAATTATTGGCATGTATATTTACTGTGGACAAAGTACTAGCTTGTTTGTTCCGCCACTGTGAAGAAGGAGCCCTAAACACTCCTTTACACTGTTGAGCATTGAGCTCAAGCATGGGCTCTCTGAATAGTACTCTAAGAGCTGCTAAATTGGGCAAGAAAGTAAAATGCATCTCATAGAAATACAAATTACTTCTTCCCTGGGATGAATGAGCAAAAAAGGCAGTATTGTAATTCTAAGTAAAAATTGCTTGTTTGGGATATTGATGACAGGTGTTTCTATTCAGAAAAGATGGTATTATTATCTGTCCTCATAAAAAAAGGAATCTTCAGATCACATAAAATGCCTTTTCCCTGATCTAGATCTTGTATTCCCATGTTTCAAGAGACAGAAAATGTTATTATATTATCCCTTAACAGTATTTATTGGCAAGACCTAGTACAAACTGTTACACAACATCAGAACTATAGATTTAGAAAGTGAAAAACATACTTAATTATGGTAGAGACACTTCAACGTATTTGCTCAAATGAAAACTTACTACATTAAATATATTGGCTTAGGTATGTTCCTCTGGGTGGAGGGAGAAAACTTCCACTCATGGGATTCAGATTCAGGGAATGGTTATTCAGATTAGACATACATTTCGATCTGCAAGGTAAAGTGAATATTTTAACTGCTAAGGAGTATCTTGGCAATAACTAAAAGTGGCCTTCAGGTTTTTCTCTTGAAAGTTGCTCCCTCCAGCTTTAAAGGCTTCCCATACAGAGCGGGCTGTAGGATGGCAGCCATATTTGGGTAATATTAAAACTTTTGAGATGCTGCAATCCAGCAATATCAATTGACATATAAAACTGATATAATGTCATTGTTATTCTGTCACTGCTGTTTCTAAAAAGGTGAAATTACAGTAGGAAGATATTATTAACATTAAAAACAAAAACTTAATAGTTTATAAATTAATATATGAGAAGTTCAAGGATTTGCTTCTTATAGTTGACAGAAGAAAACCATAAAAATGTATACTACTGAAATTGGATTTATTTATTTAATTATTTAATTGCTAAGATTAATATGCATACTTACATATGTGTTAATTCTCTCTTTTTTTTTTTTTTTTTTTTTTTTTTTTTTGCCTTTTTACAGAGATGGGAGCACTTGACAAAGTACCATCACCGGAGGAAACAAATCAGTCTTGAAAAAGAATGCATTTTTATTTTGTTGTAGTGTAGATTTAGATTGAATTCTAAACAAAAGATCCAAATGAGCTGAAGATGGGAAGTATTGTTTGCATTAATCTGATAAATGGTAAACAGCAATCTGTCCTCTGGGTTTTTTGTCTGTTTATTTGTCATTTTTTTGTTTGGCCTTTTTTTTTTTTTTTTTTTCTCCTTCTCCTGTGATGTTATAGTGTAAAATTTTGCCTTGGTAAAATTTTTCTGTAGGTAAATGATAAAATAAAAATAAAGAGCAACTACATTGTTTCATTTTAAAATTAAATACATACCAGCACACAACACATTGTATACAAAGCCCAGGTTAAACTGTAAGATTACACTGAATCTATACTCTGCAAAGTTACAGTAAAATAATACATCAGTGCTACATACTGAGTACTTTAGCTGACTGAGAAAAAGAAGAACAGTGACTTCAAACTGCTGCCATACCGAATCTTTTTAGGTCACAGATCTGTCTGTATTTCTGTGCTTCATGGAAGCCTTACTTCCTCTTCGTATTTTCATAGACAAGAAATAAATTCATGTTCATTTTAAATTTCATACTATTTCCCTGTAATACACCAGCCCATTGACAGAAGCATACCTTCATGCAACACAAATTTAACCATTCTGTACAGGTAATAGGTTTACACAAATCCTATGGGAAGGATTCCTCTTCTTATGTCATCAAGAATACTGGATCTGTATTCTTTAATGAAGAAACTCTCCCATTCGCTCCAAGATTAAAAAAAAAATTATCTTATGAAATTCCTTAGTCTGAGTCCAGCAAAGCACTTGAATACATGCTTTATCCCTATGAAAGGGCTTTGATGTACCGGGACCAGAAAGCTAGGCCCATACACAATTAATATCATATTGTCGTGGTTTGGGCCTGGCCGGCAGCCAACCACCACGCAGCAGCTCTCTCTCCCTTCCCCTCCGGCAATGAGAAGGGACAGAGAGCCAGGTTTGGGGTTCGAGATAGGACTGGGGTGGGGAAAAATTCCCCTTTATGGTCACGAGCTAAAGGCAGACTTGTTAGGGGAAGAAAAAAAGAACATACATTTATTACAGACACTAACAACACATAACAGAGTAGGACAGTGAGAAGCATTGCCACATCTTGAGAACACCTTCCCCCCACCCCTCCCTTCTTCCCGGGCTCAGCTCTGCTCCCGATATCTCTACCTCCTCCCCCAGGGGCGCAGGGGCAGGGAATGGGGGGTGCAGGCAGTGCTGCCGCTTCTGTCATCTGCAGTGGGGGGAGCTGCTGGAAATTCTTCCCTCTGCTCCAGGGTGGTCCCCCTCTCACAGGAGACAGTCCTCCACAAACTTTCTCCGACATGAGTCCCTCCCATGGGCCGCAGCGTTCCCCACACTGCTCCATCATGGGTCACCAACTTTCTCCGACTGGATTCTCTCCCACGGCTGCAGCCCTTCCCGAGCTGCTCCGGCGTGGGACTCCCCCGCATGCTGCAATCCTCCCAGCGCTGAATTACAGCAGCGGGGCTGCCTTTTCCCATGAGACCCCGGCCTTCTTTGGCCACAGAACCTTGATCATTCAAGCAGAAGCCACAGGCCATAAATCAGTGTCTGCCCCACTGTAGATCTCATGGGTGGCAGGGGGGGCCGCCCTGCCGTCTCACCACAGGATACAGGGGGGTCTCTGCCCCGTCACACCTCCCCCCTCCTTTCTTCCTCCGTTCCTCCACTGACCTTGGTGTTCATGCAGCTGCAGGGACTCCTCCTCACAAGTCCGACTGCCCGTCACCACATCCCTTCTTAAATACGTTATCGCAGAGGCGCAGCTGATGGGGTCAATTTCCCAAACAGAAGTGGAGCTGGCTTGGAGCTGGGGGAGCTTCGAGAAGCTTCTCACAGGGGGCCGCCCCGATAGCCCCCTCCCCTGCCACCAAAAAACTCCACCACTCACTCAACCCAGGACACATATCAAGAATGAGGAAAAGTTTGAGAGGATACAGAATTATAGAAAGGTTTTTCACATTCAGATGACTTCCACTCTCTGCACAGTGCAATGAAATATCATCCTTTCAAAATGCTGCTGTGCACTAGAGTGCACAGACTGATAGAAATTTTGCAGAACATTATTAGATAATAAGTTTTTCACTGTTGGCATAGCAGAATACAGAATATCTAGTTTGAACCCACAAGATTATCTTACCTTATCAATCAGCTTGTGATCTTCCTCAGACTCTGCACTTCAGTCAAAGTTTTACTATTTTGTTTCATTTTAGTTTTGTTTTGATTAGTTTTGTTTTTTAAAAAAGTAATCAAAAAGTATACACTGCTAGTACATATGCTGCTAGTTCAACATTATTTGGTAATATGTGGGCTTTCAAAAGTGTGAAAAATAATAGAGTGAAATTTAACTTCTGTAATTTAGTATAATCCAGTAATTTCAAACTATCATTTTCACTAGTAATGTCCAGATTTCCCATCATAAACTTGAAGCAGAGCTCAGTAAAATCAAGACGTATTCTTTTCATTGACTTCCATGGACTTTGGTTCACTGACTGCTAGGAACTGGTATCCATTTGCAGAACTCAATAACTTTCTATGGCAAAGCAAACTCAATCTATGATCAAATAAAAAGAATATAATCTTAGTATTGAATTTCTATCATTTGAAATAGGATAAGAAATTGAGTTTAAAATTAGAAAACAGTTATTACTTAAATCAGCATTCTGTCAGGTCATTAAAGTTGGAATGATCTTGTTAGAATGTTTAATTGAAATTCTGAAATTTGAGATTATTTGAAATATTGTAAAACTCATCGGATCAAGTTCCTTGCCAGATTTACATCAGTGTCTAAGCAGAGAGTCCCACAAGTTCTTATTCATTGTGTTGCACTGCTATATGCATACATTATTGAAAACACAAAGGATCATTATAACCTAATTACCAAAAGCTGTCCACATAATTTCACTCAATAATTATTACATTCAAAGTGGTAATATTCCAAAATACAGAGAGAGGTAACATCTTCAGACTGTTTCTCACCCTCTACAGCTCTTACCTTTACAAAAATGAAGGGGAAAAAAATAATAGAGGCACACTTCTTGATCTATTTCAGTAACATTATTATTATATTAACATTCTTATTTTATTTAAAGCACGTCTCACATCACTACATCTCAGACCTAAATTCTGCAAATATTTGGAATGACATTTCTATAGTCAGCCTCTCAGACAAACACCTGATAAAAGACAGACTTTAAATCACAATTTGAAAGCAATTAGTTTCAGCAGGGCAAAAAGACAATAAAAAGATGTGGCAAGTTTCAGTAGGAAAAAAAAAATCCCTAACCATTTCCTCCTTGTTTCATTTATTTGCTCATTTGCATAAACTGTATCCCACTTCTGTGTAGGATTAGATCAAACACGTATCTGCACTAAAGCCAAAGGCCAAAGTCTAAAAAAATTGCATAGAACTTTGTTGTAATGTTTGCCAGAGATATGAAATTACCAGGCATGCAAATTTAACTCTGACAATGAACAGAAGGCTTGCATGATGCTGAATGATTGGACAATAAAATGGCAGATGAAATTAAATGCTGATGCAAGCAAATAATATACACAGATAAAAACAACTCTAATTTTGCATACACATAATGATGGTCTAAATTATCTCTGGAAAAATAGCTTAGACTCATTGTACACTATCCTTTAATAATGTCATGCTAAACTTCAGCAGCAGTTAGAAAGGCAAATGAAATGTTAGGAATTATAATGAAAAAGCAGCCAAAACCAAACCAGAGAACATCATTATGCCACCATTCCCAGCTTTGACACCAGTTACAGTTCTGATGAACTCATTGCAAAAAAAAAACCAAAACAAAACCCACCACTGTAGAACCAGAAAAATCTATAGAGAGAAGTCATGAATATCTTCAGCAACAGGGAACAACTCTTATACACACATAGTTGTGACTTTAGCTAGAGAAAGAGACTGGTAAGAAGAGACATGACATAGTCTTAAATGTCATGGTAAAAGTGCTTAGCGAATTCACTTCTTGTAACCCAGGATTTAAAATTAACTGATAAAAGGCTCAAGTAACATTTTTAAAACCTACCCCCACAAAAAGAAGTCCTTTTTCATACATCCCTTGATGAAATTGTGGCACTGACAGGCACATGACATTTTGGAAGCTATAGGTTCTGAAAATTATATTCATGGAAGAGAAGTCCTTCAAGGTGCAAATGAAGCCACTACCTCAAAAAAAGGTAAAAAGAAATAATTAAATTATTTCTTAGAACACATTACAGACATATGTGAACAGAGCTATAAAATAACCCTTAGAACCTGTTCCATAATTCAGGCATTAATTAAATAGGGCTTCATCATCTGCACTGCATCTGATGCCAGCTTACAAAACTTGGAAATTGCATATTTTTGGCTAAAAATTCTGCAGAAATTAACACTACCTATAGCCAAAAAGGCACAATTTTATACAGTGCTTCACCTGTCAGGTAGTATCACTAAGACTTACTTAAATGCAGATCAGTTCAGTGCAAAAGAGGGAATTTCTGTTGGCACAGCCGACATAAGCCTATGCAGGTTAGGAAGTCATTAGGCAGCTGACAGGATACGTGTATTTTCCCACCTGTCTACTCATGTAAAGGTCAGACTGCAATTAGCACAGGAACATTAGATAGGACTCAGAACACTAAGGACGTTTGAGGAAGCTTGATGCTGGGGTTGACGTGTTTCTGCTTTCAGTGTTAACATAGTTAAAACTACAGCGCTTTTTGTCTGACTAGAGCACTAACTTCCTAAGATAACAGGGAATCTTGGTGTGAGTTAGCTTACTAAAGATTCTGACGATATCTTAGCTGTTAATTTGCTTTTCAGACAAGATGAGGAGATACGATATGAGATAGTATATGAAGCGACACATTAATAACTCACAGAAAACCCAATTAAAGTATTTTTATATGATTTCAGAATACGTGATACAAAAAAGCAACAAGTTAGAAATGGGCACCAGGAAATACTTTGTAATTTATTCAGGATATAAATTACCTCAGGGGATTTCTAAAGCAGATACCATGACTAAAAGAAAGTTCAGAGCTGAGTGCTA